CCTTGGATAGAATTGTCAGAGTGGTAAATTTTACCCTGTTGAGGAGGCCAAAGTGACATCAAGCACAAAGTGACACTGAGTTTCTTACTGCATTTAATGTCCAAAGACAAAGCTTCTGTACACAGGACAGAAGTGGGTTTTGGCCAAGTTTTATAATTTTTGGTAGTTCTAGCCATCAGTCTTGTGTCATTCACTTTACTTATGGTTCCTGGTAGGCACCTACTCTGGAAAACAGATTCTTCAATCAGCAAGGCACTTGGGGCATGGGATGTTTGCCATGGGCACTTGGGATATTTACGTTTAAAAGGCTCAGAGAGTTGTTGAATGGCAGGGGATGAGCCCTGCTCCAGGAGTGCTGCCAAGGTTGGACTTTAATGCCAGGTGTAAAGACCATCTTTGAATCTGGATTAATGACTGGTTCAGATGCTCCCCTCTAGGTAGGGGTCAGGACTTTCTGAAAGAAGCTCTCCTGGAAGGCTGGCTGACACCATTCTCAGTGAGCACAGATGACTCTAGATCCCCCTGCTGCACACCCTGCACACCCCCCCTGCATCCCCTCATTGGAGCAAAACCCCCAGCCCAGGTGCACATCTCTGTCTCTTTGTGTGGATACTCACTCCCTTTGTTGCTGAGTGACAAACACAAACCAGCCCTGTCTGCAGGACACTTCTAGACCATTTCACCCAACCCATCATCTCAAAGGAGGCTGCTGCTGCTTGTGCTCTGTCTTTAATGCCAGCCTTTTTTTTCTTATTATGTCTCCCTACCACTATATTTGTCTATGAAAAATGAACAAAATAAAGTTTTGTCATCTGCATGTTTCTGTTGTCAGCTGTTGCAGGCCATGCTCAGACTTTCTGCTGCATTCATATAAAGCCTATCATTATAAACCCCATACAGTCCAGCTGTGCAGCCCCAGAGGTGCCACAGCAGACACAACAAGCATTGGCTGCTCAGCAATGCCCTTAGCTCCTGCTGTGCTGTTGTTTCAGCTATCAGGGATCCCTGGTTTTGTGCAGACATGTTTTGAACTTCATATCTAACCCAAATAAACTATAGATACAATAAAAATTAAATAATCTGCATATGTCTATAATTCAGGAACTGTATAGCAAAAGAGGCCTCTGGATCAAAGAGAAGCAAGCATGTCCTAAGGTATTTTGGGGATGCTCAAAAGACCTACTCTTTAAAACAAGAGCCTGTTGAGGAAGGATGCATGTTCATGTAATTACACTGTTAAAAACTGATGCAGAAAAGAATCATTCATTGATGTGTTACCAAAAATTCATGGCACCTCTCCTGTGGTTCAATGACCCCATGAGTACCAGTCCCATTCTACCACATCCCTGAATTCAGATTATACTGCAGAAATGAACACAACTGCATTTAAAAATATTACATAGAAGAATATTACTTAAAAATATTTTAATAGAAGAGATGAGCAGCTCTATTGTTCTTAAGTTAGAATCATAAAATTTGGGTTTGGGGATGTGGTAATAAATATTTTTAAACTGTCCTACCAACACATTTTACCAAGTTTTTTTTCAGGTCATTGTCAGTGTGGCTTCAAACAGATTTAAGGTCAGCTGTATTTCTCCTCTTCCGTCTCTCTCTATATAATTTGATAAAATTTGCAACCTCTTATGATCTTTGAATGAGATGCCAAGGCTACCCTGTCCTGGGCTCAAATACAACAAATACAACAAAACAGCCATTTACATAATGAACAGCTCTGGTCAACACCATCTTGTCACCCACTTCAGTGTGAGGCCCAGGGCTGTGCTTTGGGTCAAACGTTCTCAACCAAACAAAACAAATCTTAACAGAGAAATGGCATGATTAGGAACTCTCCTCCCCATGTAGGTCTCTTTCCTTAGTGCTGCTGGCTGTGCAAGTCACCTGCAGGATTGGCCATGAAAAAATGAATGCTTGGGCACTCATCTTGGGCACCATCCTCAATGGTGTCTTGGCAGCCATAGGCTGGAAACTTATTCCCGAGATTTCCCAACTTGCTTCTTGCACAGTTCCCACGTATTTCTAACCATGACTCTTCCCTAAAATTCCAGTAACTCTCCCTTTAGGAGAGACTGAAAACTGAATTTTCAAATTTGGTGAGTCTTCTGTAGTTGATAACCCCACAGCACACATTATACTTGAGTTCTTCTTGCATCCTTTCAGCATATAACATATTTTGGAAAAAAAAATGGCCTTTGGTGAAGTTTGTCCCTTAATCTCACCTGAATCCCACTCCTGCCTGATTTGACTCAATGTTGGTGTGGTGACTGGGTGGCCTGTGCCCTGCAGGGCTGGAGGGACCCAGGGTGGCATAAAGGCAACACGGTGAACACTGCCTGACAGTCTGTGTAAGAAATGCCCAGGCCTGCAGCTGCTTCTTCATGCATGTGGAAGTGCTCTTAACGCTGTATGCTGCTCCCAGATAGAAGACTCAGGAGAGTGGGGAGGGAGTAAGTGAGATGCAGGACAATATTTTGTTGTTTCTGTGAACTACAAGGGTTAATAGCTTACTATTTTTTAATCCTCATGCTCATTTATATCTTTTCAAATCATCTGTCTGGCTTCTGGTCTTTAGTTCTGCTCCTTCTAGCATTAACGTTTTGTGTCTATCCTCATGTTTGGCATCAGACATCATCCCTACAGAGGCTTAAGGATCTGGAGGTTTTGCAGGTTTTAGCCCCAGATCCTTCAAGAACACTGCCCATAAGTACACTGGTGGACCACGAGGAGCCCACTTGTTGCCATCATCTATGCCTAAGGAAGGCCTTCTCTTTGCTTGTTGCAGATGGTATTTTGATCTGTGATAGATTCTGCCAAGTATGTAAAACCCTGATAATCATGCATTGTAACATGGAAATAAAGCTGAGCTTGGTGTGTAAGTTAAAAGACATGTCTGTTAAAGAATGCTAAAAAAATGTCCAAGAATGCTAAAATAAATAGCCTCATGTAGTAAATCACCTGCCCCTTGGTGTCCGGTGACCCTTAGGATGCTTCCCATATGCAGCGTCTTTGTCTTCACATTTGCTCTTTTATGTTATTTGTTTCAAATGTGGTGTTCTGTTTTCCTACTGTTAAGGAACGCTTTTTCTGTTTCTTCTTTTCAAGTTGCAACCTCTTCATCTCTCCCCTCCCTGCACACTGGGCTGCCTGTAAGACCCCATGAGATCCTATGTGAGATTTTGCCTAAACGGAGTTTTACTCACTTTGCTTCACTGTACTTCACTCACCCACATCTAACAGTGCTGAAATTGTTGCTTAGTCGAATTGAAATCTGGCTGCCTACAAAGGAAGAGGATACACAGAATTAGGTCTTAAGTATTTGCAACATACTTTGAAGGAGAAAGATTATATTAAACAATCTGTTTAATATAAGGAATACATTAAACAATCTCTGTGTGTGACATCAACAAGGAAAAGACCACTGAAAATCTGGTAGGATTGCAGTGGGGAATCCAGCCTAAAAATCAATGACATGGCATGTCCAGAAGGTGGATCTAGAAGTAGCAAGTGTGGTAACTGCTGACAGGTATCACATTCCTGGGAGCGCGTTATACACAGTAAAAGCAGTCCAGGCATGACCAGCCCCTCTCTGAGAAGGGTCCTGCTGTTTCCCAGCACAGACTCAGCCACTGCGCCCACACTGCACAGGGATCGCCAGGGATGTGTTTGCCTGGGAGAGGCTGGGAGAGTGATGAGTGGGGTGAGAGACTGCTTGTGCCAGATTATTTTATTTTCTTACATGGTATGCCTATTTTGATAGCAAGGCAACCAGACTGGCAAAGGGAGGCAGTTGGGATCTCAACACAACCTGTTGGCCAAAGTTCTTCACAGAGCACAAAGTAAGCAAAGTGAAGGGCATGGAAAAACATCTTCCCGGGAAAAACATCTCCCCAGGGTTTCTCCTTGGGCTTTTCTTGCCCTTGCCAGGACCCGGGTCCTCTGAGAGAGATGGATTTTGCTCAAACAAAAGAGACATTATGGTCCTTGTGACCATTTGATTCAGGCTATAAAACACTGTTTGCTACCTTCTGACTTAAATCACCAGTCGAGTTTGCAAGTGAGACTGATATATTTTGCTTTCCTGGTTATTGCTCCTTTCCCATGTCCAATGACTGGCATCATGTGTGTACACGTTCAGTGGTGGAATCATGCTGGCATATGCAAGTGGATCGGGCTGAGGCTCCTGAGCTCTTCAAAAGCACCATTTCCCCAGTTGAGAAATACCATGGACTAGTTGTAGCAAGACTTCTTGTTTTGGCTTCTGGAGCACACATTCTTAGTGCTGTCAATTCTTGTAATATTTATTTTGAAGACATAGCTTCTGGATCCATGTAACTAGCTACAAATCGCAGCCCTTTCTGACTTCGCCGCCCCTCACCCTTAAAAGTTTCTAGTATTCTTGTTGGGGGCGAAAAGGCTAAAAAAAAAAAAAAAAAAGAAACCCGAGGCAAAAAGCTAAGGGATTCACAATGAGCTGGCATTTTCGGGATAGCCCCGCTTCCCGTGAATTTTGACCCCTCCATTTTGCTTTTTTCCTGACACTTGAAGCTGCCACCGAGGCTTCCCGAGGAGGGTGGCGCGGAGCAGCGGTGCGAACCCCGGCAGCACAGCGCTAAAAACACGCGGCCGGATTTCTCTTGCTTAGGGGGAGCCTTTCCACGTCCCCGATTTTATACGGGGCCAGCCTCCTCATAGTCGGTCCAGTCGGTCCGCGGCGCTGCTCATGTTTTCCACTGGGGGGGCGGGGGGAGAATGAGAGTGGGGAGACGAGGGCGGAGGAGAGGGAGGAGGAGGAGGGAGGGGGGGAAAGTTGCTTGAATTTGCGAGGGGCGAGAGCCGGCGGTGGCGGCGCGCTGCTTCTTTCCACTGGCTGGGGGAGCTGCCAATCTGTGTTGTAATCCTGCAGGAATTTCTGCGGGGTTTAACTGGGAGCCGCGCCGCCGCCGCCGCGCACTCGGGGCGGAGGGAGGGCGGCGGAGCCGGCAGCGCGCAGCCTGCAGCCCGCGCGCCCCAGCGCCGCGAGCACCGGGCCCGCCGGAGCGGAGCGCGGAGCCCCCGGCAGGAGCGCGGCGGGCCGGACCCGGGGCGCCACCGGCCCTGCCCCGCGCCCCTCGGGCGCTGCCGAGCGCCGCCGGCCCCCGGTTTCTCCTTTGTGCCCGGCCCCCGGCGGCCGCCGCGCCGGCTCCGCGGGAATAATGCGGGGCGTGTGGCTGGCGCTCACCGTCAGCTTCGTGGCCTGCGCCTCCGGGCAGCCGGTGAGTGCCGGGGCAGAGGGGAGGGGACGGGACGGGACGGGGCGAGGGCGGCCGCCTCGGCTGCGGCAGCCAAGCGCGGGGCGCGCAGCCCGAGGCTTGCCCCGTTGCGTCGCCGTCCGCGGGGCGCTGGGCTGGTTCGGGGGGGCATCTGTTGATAGTTGAGCGTCTGCAAATGGCAGGCACCATTCCGTCCCACCCACCAAAAAAAAAGAATGAGAGACACCCCCTTCCCCCCTCCGAAAAAAGAAAAAAAAAAAAACAACCCCCCCAAAAAAAACCCAGCAAAACAAGAAAACCCAGAACTCCCTCACGAAGCCGAGAGGACCACCCTGCCGCAGCGGAGCACCGTGCCGCCCTCCAGCGAAGCTCGGCCGAAGTTTGCCGCGATGACCCAGCCGCCAGCCGGCCCCGGAGCCCCCCCGGTGCCTCTCTCCCTGCCTCTCCGGAGGAGGGGCGCCCGAGGGGCCGCGGCGCGGGGCTGGGTCCGGCAGCGGGGACTTGAAGCCCGTCCCGCGGCAGCGCCGGGAGCCGCCGGGCTGCCCCGTGTCCGAGCGGCCGCCCGGGGACATCGCCGCCTCCCCCGGCTTCGCGGGCCGTGAGGCGGGAGCGTCCCTTGCAAAATCCACTCCTCGCGGCCCGTGGCTAAAATGAGAAAAAAGGCAGCAAAGCCTGGCTGCGCTGCTCAGGACCTCCCAGACCCCTCAGGCAGCCCCCGGTCCCGGCTCCGCGGAGCCCGAGCCTGCTGCGCACCCGGCCGCCCTTCCCCGTGTAGCTCGCGAGGTGCTCGGGATAATGCTGCTGTTTACACTTTTTCCGTGCCACGAGTGTATTCGCTAACCGGGCCCTGTGCTTAATGCAATTAGCTCTGTTGCTGGGATTTGTACCTCTGGGAAAGCCTCTCTCCGGCGAACCTCCCACCCTTTCGTGGTAGGAGCCGGCGAGGACCGGCCAGAGGGTTTTGGTCTTTTCAGTCTGTGGATCTGAGCTTGTCTTGAGGGAAGGGGTATGCACAATGACACTAATGCAGTGTTTGGGCAAATATTAGGAAATGATAAATTGAGGTTTCAATATGAAATAAAAAGGAAAAAAAAGACAATTTAATCCAATTAAAATGAGCCGCTTCACTGAACTAAATAACGTCACTAGCTTGGGTTAACTTTTGAAGTTCTCTAGCTGTTGTATAAATTAGCCAAGTCACAGCCTTCATAAAATCTGGCTCACCATTAGGGATTTCTAAGGGTACAATGGCAAAACACTTTCTTAAAGACTGATTAAAAAGGGGTTGGGTAGAACACTGACCTTTGTTTCCGCTAAGTATAACTGTGCTGCAGAAACACCCTTGCCTAATGAGCTACAATATCCTTTAATTTTATAGAAATGCTGTTAGTACGAAGTTCTCTGATGGTGGGGTAGCTATTAAACTGCCACAGTAATTAGCAGAGTATTAAGTTTGATGGGTTTTTGCCTTAGGATGAACAGACTGTGGCAGTGTGTGGTGGGTTGTTGGGGCACATCCCGTGTGGTGTGGTTCAGGGGGCAGTGGGGAGAGCGAGGTGGGGGGAGCCTGCCTGGCTCTGCTGCAGCGCCCTTACTGCTGCCAGAAAGTTGTGGAGGGACTGAAAAAGTAAAAGGAGGTTGGTCTTTTCCCTTTTCTTTCACCTCCCTTCTTTTTCCTTTAACTGCGCCTGGCAGCAGCTTCATGGTCCCTTAAGATAGGATTTTGTAGACCAGTCTCTGGGAAAAGACAGATGCCAAAACTGTGTTCTCTGCAGAAGTCTGTCCTTGTCATAAGAGGAATTCTATATGGATGCTTAAAAAAACCCTCCCGGCTCTCCAGACCACTATCAAATGGATTTAGCTCTAAATTTCTTCATGTTTTTAGTTTCTACTATTTTTTATCATTATTTAGACAAAACTATAAGGTAAAAATCTTGTTTCTGATGAAGTTAATTATCCATGAGTCTTCTGAGCAGAGAAGCAGGAAGCTGCAGGAGATTTTGTTTCTTAAAGCAATGAATTCCCTGTGTTTGGTCCACATCACCAACCAACACTTTTATTGGGGTGGGCCAAGGAGATGTTAGCACTGTGTTAAGAATGTCCTGGAAGTGAGACCTTCCGCCGAAGGACGACGGGAGTGGAGTGTCGGTGCTGGGTGCGTGCTCTGTGTGCTGTGTGGGCTGTCGTGCCGCAGCTGTGCTCTGCTGTGCCCTGCCAGCTTCCCCGGGGGAGCAGCTGCTTCGGGACTGGGCTGAGATGGGAGCGAGAGATGGAGCCCAACCTGTTAGTGCCAGCCTGCACATGGTGGCAAGTGGTACCCACACCAAAGCTGGTGGATTGCAGCTGGGGCTTGAGGAGTGGTTTGCTGCCATCAGCACAGTGTGCAGTGAGATGTCAGATTACAGTGGGTTCTGTTAACCTATGGGGTCCTAAAGAACATGGGGCATTCACCCAGGCTTGGCTGAATGGCAAAAAGTGTGTTTTCTAGCTACCTTGAAAGTTTCTTGGTTTGCTTATAAGAGAGGGAAAGAAAGTGACATGAAACTATTGGAAAGAAAAGGAAAACTGAGTGAGAGGCCTGATGCACCTTTTAAAAGGTTGAACCCCTGAGCCCTGATGATGTTGGGAGCCAGCTTTTGCTGATTTTAATAGCACCAGAGAGCAGTGCCAAGTATCCAGCTGTAGTTGTCAGCTCCCATTCAGAAGAGGCTGATAAACGTTTCCGTTTCGTTCTAGTTTGCAGCAGTGGGACAAATGGTTTTCCAGAGCTTGTGTGACAGTCAGATCCTCTCTGCATGCCCAAGTGCACATTGAGAAACTTTGCTGGCTAGCAGGTTGTGCTGCATACTGCAGTGTTAACCGTGCTGCTCTCCTCACAGAAGGTTGAGTCCATCTCTCCCCCGGAAGCTTCTGGCGTCTGGAGACTGCTTCACATCATCAATACATGCATGTGGGGCTAGATTTGGGACTTTCAGTGAAACAGAGCATTGGGGCATCACCTGAGTGGCCTTTCGGTTTCTTGTGTAAGCATCTGACCGCTGAGTTGTTGGCATAAATATAATCATTGGAAGATGATCCAAGGGTGATATTTAGTATATTTTTCAGAAGTATAGAGTATTTGAGAATCATGATGCTGTAGTTTTCCTACCTTTGTTTCTAATGGGTACTTTGGTTTTGGAATTTGGAAAATTGATAGTGTGTTGGAGAGAATAACTGTTTTTTTGAACAAGGCAGTTAGATTCAGAGGTGGTAAGTAGTGGAAAAGAAGGGCTGAAGAGATAGCTGGTAATTTAGATTTATATGCTGTATGTGTCTCTCCTATCTGTGTTAAATTTGCTTTGTCAAATAAGTTCCAGTGAAGGAAGTCTTTTCAGTCTTCATTTATTTCTACCCACCTCCAATTCACATGTACCTTTTCTTCTCACTGTAGAATCAATAACTGTTCATCCATTGCTTTTTGTGGTTTGGCAATACCTGGAATCTGCTATGTCTGCTTCCCTTGCTCTGACTGAACTTCTGGGTTCTGCCTGCACTGCCATGCACTGGAAATTCTGGGGTTTGCTACCAGTCTTGGGTATTACAGCCACCCCTTAGATGGATGTTCTCAGGAGCCACTTTTTGAAAATGGGTTTCTGTCCCAGGTTAGATTATAGTTTAAAAATTAAAGAACAGATGAATCTTGACCCCAGATCAAACGCTGAAGTTCCTCTTTTTAACATCTTAGCCCTGAGGTCTGCATTGGAACTGATTTAGTATTGAGGCCTGAAGTGCAGAGATGTTTTCTCTGCATTTTTTCCTAGATCCTTATCAAGGAAGTATATGAGAGCATCATCTTCAGGAGCAAGTCACGACAAATACATTAGGGTTTGAAGTTGGCTGCTGGGATTGAGGTTTTTGGGCAGATAACACCTCTGTGGTAGGTTTGAGGTAGTTACTGTAGCTAATGAAATAAAGATGGTGGACTTTGGAGAGTGTGCAGTAAGTCTGGAATTTGCTTGGAAATTGGATGGATCCAAGTTTCTGTAGTCCTAAATTAAGTGTAATTGCAGGATGACAAGATAAAGGACTAATTTTTTGACTAGTAGAGGTGCAGGTTATGAGAAGTCACATGTCAAACATGCAGCCATGATCTAATGCCTCTGGGAGGGTGGGGTGGATGGTGGAGAGCTGCCTGCCATCCTTGGTGGGGAACGTGGCATTTTGGCAGTGCTTCTTGAGCTTGGAGAAGAGCCTGCAGAGGAGCCAGTCATTTGCAGAGTTCTCCATTTGCACTGCTCTTTGTGGCGACTTGTCTTTATAAAATGTCAAACATAGGCATATGGATGGCATTTATTCATTACATTTTCTCACCAAATTGACTTTTGCCATTGAGCAATTTAAACATCTTACTTATGGCAAAGAATTGCAGGCTTTAGTAAGGCTCAATGGCTGAACAAAGAGCTCTTGTCTAGTTATAGAGAAGTGCTCTTTTGTCTTCTGAATAGATTTGATAGACTATGATTTTCAACATAAATGTTGTGTTTGAGATTGGCAAGCTTATTTGAGGCCTCATATAAGACCCTACTTGACTCTGAATCATAAAGATGCCCTCTGTGCTGCTGCATTTGAGAGAGGATGCACAAGTCATGAGCAAGTGATTTGGTCCACATTCAAGTCACTTCACCGTCGGTGTTGTAGGAAGCATGAGAACATTACTGGAGGCTCTTCTGTGAACAGCTTGTTGTTTGGTTATCTTCAGTTCAAGCTTACAAGATGATAATAAATTGCTATCTATAATCTTTTCAGAACTAGTAATTTATTCATAGATTATATGACACTCTTCAATGATTTGGGAACATTATTTCTCCTGCTCACATTGAAGTATAATTTGCAAGCTCTGGAGTACAGATTGCATTGGTGTTTGACCCTCTAATAATGACAGTTCTCTGTATGTATGTTGTTTTCTTGATTAGCTCAGCCCTGGGGGATGCTTTTAAAAGCATACTAGATATTTAGGCAGAAAA